CACGAAATTTTTTTTTGATTTATTTTTTTTTAATTTTCTTTTCAAATTTACATTTTTCATAAAAATTGTCTACAGCATTATTTTTTCTAAAAACATTAATTTCCTTTTTAATAATTTTTATTATTATATTAAAATACAAAATGAGAATATATATATATATTTAAAAAAAAAAATTAGGACAAAAAAAGATAAGCTCTTTTTTTTTTTTTTTTTTTTTTTTTAAAAAAAAAAAAAAAAAAAAATTTTATTACATTAAATATTATGAAATAAATAGATTAACATATACGAATTTAAAATTTTTAAAAATATCCTAACTCAATATTTATTTTATTAATATACTAATTAATTTATAAGGTATTAAAAACTATTTAATAAAAAATTTTTTTTTATTAAATCCTCTGTAATAAATATTTACAAACCTTTGATTATCTATGAAAAAATGTTTTATAACAAAAAAACAATTTTTTGTAAAAATTATTTAAAAATTTCTTCTAAAATTTTTATTAATTCCATTAAGTTAAAATACTTATTTTAAAGAGAAAAAAAATAATGTATAATTAACAAAAATTAATATAACAATTAAGGATAAAAAAAGAAATATTTTTTTTTCTAGGAATATATTTAATGATTTTTCTTTTTAAACTATATAACTATGACAATACTCCAAATAACAAGCATGAGAAGGTAACTTTTTATATTATCTATATTTTACTAATTTTCATTCTATAAAAGGTTATTAATATTAATATTAATATTTATTGATCAATGTCAAAAAAGTATTCCCTGTCATATAATCTATTCAACAGAAAATTCTCGTATATCTGCAGGAAACTGTTTTTTATTTTTATTCATGAATTACAATCATTAAAATGTATTTTTAATTTTTATCTTGATAATATAAATAATTCTTAAAGATGAAAAAAATATACTATGCATACACAAAATCTTCAATAAAAATAGAAAATCAATTCCCCTAATCAAAATTTCAAAAATATAAATTGTCCTAATAGTGAATTCATACTTTGGTTTCTTTACTATTCAATCTATATTTATACTATAATTAATATAAAAAGGTATAAAAAACAGTAACAATGAATACAAATTATTTTATATCTTTTATAATAATAAGCAAATATAGTATTTTCTATTCAGAAAAATGAAATTTAATTTTTATTTTTTTATTTAATATAACTTTATTTTACTTGAGTAAATAAAATTTACTTTTTTCTTGTTTGATATTACTAAAACGAAGAAAATAAAAATTTTTTTCCACATTACTTTTGGAAATTTATTAATTATACTATTTTATAGATGCTTCTAAAAAGATTTACTTAAAAAAAGCATAAAAATGTTATTATATAAATAAAAATATTAAAAATTACCCATAAATATCCATATATAATTGGCTAATTTTATATTATATACATTTTATTATTTAATAAAACGTCTTTTTCTATTTTTGGTTAATATAAAATATTAGATATTTCATAAAAAAAGAAATCAGCTGTTCAAAATAACTTAATAAAACATAAATTTATGTAATAAAAATGCAGACAAATTTCATTTTTTATATAGGTAAAATAAAACAAACGAATTTTAATATATATTTAAAATATTTCTTTTTCTTAACAAAAGAATTGTAATCATTCAGAAATTATTTACTTTAGGTTTATATACCTCTTAATTCATTTTTTAAACAGATATTCATATTGTCACTTAATTATTGTTATTTTTATTATTTAAATATTATAAATTTTATTTTATAAAAATAAAAAGAAAAATTCCTAAGTATTCATATTCAAAAACTCATATAAGTAATTTATAAAATATATTCGGTTCATTATAACAATTTTATGGCATTTATTCTTGATCTTTTTAATAAAAATTCTTTCTAATAATATAAAGTTAAGACTATTTATACCTCAAAAAATTACAATTTGGATAATTCTCATATATAAAAGGTTATATAATCCTATATTTAATAATAATGACATTTTTAAACTTATATATATATACTCATATATTATTTACTTAATCAAAAATTAATTTTTTTAATATTACATTGTTTACTTAATTTTAAAGTAAATTTTCCTTCGTGTTTTTATTGGAATAAATTTTGTTACTTTATATTTTTTTAAGATAATGTTAAGAGGTACTCCTGGAAAACAAATATAAATTTTATGCTATATTTTAAAATAAATTGTAATATATTTAAATACAAAAAAGAACCGTATGACTTATGCTAAAATTACTTAGAGATATTCAAGTATTTTAAGAATCATTAAAAATTTTATATGTTCACATTTAACAATTATTATTATTAAAGTATATCACATAATGTATTGAATAGTATTCTTATACTTAAATAAATATCAAAATATATTTCAATACTTTAAAAAATATATAAACCTATAATATATGCACATATATAACAATTATTAATAATAATGCAATAATTATCATTAAACTCATATATTTCATGAAAATATTACATATATAATAATCATTATTTTTTCTTACTTGTAAATATATTCTCATTGTAATTTCTACATAGTACGTTTTTTATTTGTATACTATAAAAAGGTGCATGGAAAAAAATTTACGTTACATTATTTATTCTTAAAATTTAGTTAATTATTATGCCTTCATATCAATATTAATGTAAAATTTACTAATTATGTTGCTGATTAAATATATTAAATATAATTAATTATATAACTTCTGTAATAATTACTATTGTCATAAATAGAATTTAATAATCTTCACTTTTATTATTATCTTCACATATAATTATTTATTTAAAAAAAAATTGACTCAAGTAATAAAGATTTTCACTTATTATATTCTTATCACTTAAATTTTCTTATCATCTCATAGAACTATTATATATTTATGAAAATAAACTTATTAGTTAGAGTATTATAATAAATTTTATATAATATTGTCATTTCTTCTGTTAGAATTACATAAAAAATTTCAATTTTAAATATCCTTCATTTTATAATTGTTAACCGTAATATTTGAAAATATACGCAATCCTTATTTTCATTTTTGTTTCATATCTTTTCTTTTTTTGATATAAATTTTTTTCACTTTTATTCTTTTTTTGTTTTAACTTTTTTTTATACCTTTTGCATTTTAACATTTTTTTTTTTTTTCCATATTTTTACAGAATCATAATAATTTTTTCATTACAATTAAAATTATTAATATTTATAAAAATATATCTGCATGTAAAAAAATGAATTTTTGTTATAAATTTTATTTTTGTTATGCCTTTTTGACGTATAATAACTCTTTTAACATATTACTAATAAATATGAAGAACATCAATATGAAAGCAATTTTTTTAAATTTATAAAGAATAAAATAGTTACGATAAAGAATTAAAAAATTTTTTTTTTTCTGTAAGTTTAAAATAAAATTTTTTCTTACAAAATTTAAATTCTTATGTAATAAGGTGATTCTTTCAGCAAATTACACATTTATGTTTATATTAAAAAAATATAGC